CGATTGTGGGTCGATTGACTTGAATAATGAGGACAATCGAGTCACAATCGACTCAAGGATCCGTCGATTCTCCCACTGAAATTATGAAAACTATTATGAAACGACTAAACAACTGCTCGACTGTGGGTCGATTGACTTGAATAATGAGGACAATCGAGTTACCATCGACTTGGCAGCGAGTCGATTCATTTACTAAGTATAAGAAACTAATATGAAACTACTAAATAACTTGTCGATTGTGGGTCGATTGACTTGAATTATGAGGACAATCGAGTCATAATCGACTTTCTTCAAGTCGATCCTGGTCCGACAGTAAGGAGTCTTTCATCATCGACCACCCCATGAGCCAGTCAAATTTTGGTGCAATAAATTTTTGTCATTCGAAATTGACTAGCTATCGACTTCCTATGAAGTCAATTCATCTTCGATTCCATCAATAATCTGAGATCTGAATCGAACTACACTCGCATACGAATCGATATACTGATCAACTCGATTCTACAATCGACAGTCGATCGAATCTCAATCGGGGGATCCGCCAGGGAAGACCAGCCACAAGGCCACAACCATGTCAATATCTGAATTGACCTTCTTCTTTTGAAACACAGTCATGAATGTCACTGAATCAAAAAGTAGCGACAATTATAGACGCAATTCAGAGTTAGCTCATCTATATTTACAATCATTATAATGTGAGGATTAAGAATCCAATTTTAAGTTGAGGTCATGTCACGACATGCGTATTTAACATATATTTCTTACAATTCCATGATGATGGATAAATTTTGTAAATTTTTTTTTTCTTGAACGTTTAATGATTATTGGGACACTGAAGATTTGGCCATATTTGGATCACTTCCAACCATTTTGTGAGAAAAAATACTTCGGCACGAAAATCATCATTTTCATGGATTAAGCCAAACATGATAACTAAAAATGAACGACATACTTTTTTTATCCATTTTCAGACGGTGTTAAAGCTAAAATCTTCATTCGCGCAAAGCCATACTTGAATGAAGGTCTGAAATACTTGAGATTGCAGCAATTAAAGATGGACTTCAGTGTCCAACATATAAAAATGGGAGTGGAGAACGTTCGTGATGGAAATACCATATTACGTAAGTAATTAAAAAATAATTAATACTTTTTTTCTTTCGTGACAATTTCTCACTTCATGCCTAGAATAATTCATGATTCTCTTTCAATAATACTTGCAGAAGCAGCACTGAACCTGTTTATCAATAGCAACAGTCAAGAGCTGCTGAAAGAAATGAAGCCATCACTCCGGCGTAAATTAATTCAAGTAATGACGACATTTGTTGAAAATCTGTTTGCACAAGTACCTTACGATGCATGGATCTCTAATTAAAAGTAATGATAATGATTGGAAAATAGTAATTAATTAACCCTAGTTTGGGCACCATAGGAGGGAAATGCCGCAGAAGGTCGATTTTTTTTTCTTACCATTGACTGGCTGAGCGGAAAAATCCTAAAAAATTGGAATGCATCAATTCAAGTGTCTAGAAAATTATAATATTTTTTAAAATTATTTATATCCACAATTCCTGAAGAAAAAAAATTATTTCTAACAGACGGGCAATTTTTTCCCATGTTAAATGAAATTGCCCGTTGTGCGGCGTTGCCGAAGTCTCGCTAAACGCGCCCGGGCAGTATAGAGTGAATTCGGCAACGCTCGGGCCTAAATAACACGGCGACGATTCCCTGCGGAGATGACCAAAGTCGCAAGTTCTCATATGGTGACCAAACTAGGGTTAATATAAGACACGTAAATGGTAAAATAGGAGTGCAGCAGCGAATTGGTCATTCCTTTGAACTCGAGGATTTAGCTTCAGCATCACCTCAATTATTTTTAACCATTCAATCCATTTATTTCATTGTATCATCTCTGCGGATAAAACTGCCAATTGCGAATGGTTATTTAGCTTTAAATAGATATCGGTACATGAATGTACTTGAAGGAAATAATCTTATACAAGTTTTGAGTATTTTTTTGCCATGTAATGAGTACTTATAAACCCTAATTTTAATGATGTGATTATAAGGTTAGTTAACTTTGAATTGAAGATTGAAGAATTTTCGATTCCAACGATAATTTATTAAATAAACAATTATAATTTATTAAATAAATAATTTGTATGGGAACCAGATGTGACCGACATTTTGAAAACTTGAAATAAATCTTAACAGCTGAATGATGTTAATTTTCGGTTTTCTGGGAAATAATTGCATGAACAATTTGGTATCCATTTTTGTTCCTGCATTGAAATACGTGTTTATGAAATTGTGGTCAACCTTTCTTGCGTGACTCCCATACACAACAGACGATTGTTCAAAACTATAATCAATTTTTCGAGGTAGAACTCAACGGAGAGAGTTCCATTCTCTCAAATTAATTAATATTTTCATTAATTACTGTTGATGGTATCCATACATTGTTCAGATCATAAAAACATTTTTTTTTCAGTAGTGATTTAAAAAATGGACCCCTTACGTTTATTGTCCAATATTGCACTGAGAGAAAAACAAACACGTTGTCAAACAAATCTTGTTTGGGCCAACAAAATCGTTAGTTGAAAATTGCTAAAAAAGAATTTGTTCAACTCGAATTTGAAATTCTCAAACATGAATAATTGTTCTGTTTTCGACAGTAACGAAATATTTGGCTCAAGAGACAGATAATTCACACCAGACGGTGCCTTTTCAGGATGCAAATATCTCACATAGAGGAAAATTTATCAACAAATATTTTATCCTTAAGTTACAAGATTGCTATCATATCATTATTATTGTTTCATTTAAGGGTTCATCGGTTGTCTGTGATTATTAGTCAGCCGAAACGAAAAACTACTATCCCTTGTTTCGCATAAAACAAAGATTTTTCGGGAGCAAAATACCTAAGGGAGTATCGAATAACGAAGGAGTATAGTGCTAGAAATGACATTTCTTGCGTGTACAGAGAATACAATTTTTTTTGAACTACTAAATCTATTTTTGCGACAAAATTTTTTCATTCCGACGTACTTTCTGCATATTTGGCACAAAAAAAACCTTTTTTGATCATTTTCAAAAAACTATTTTCTTAACACAAGTAAGACTTATTTGAACGCTTTGTCGTCTTTCTCTCAGTGTGGATAGAACCTTGGTCAAGCAGCAAGTATTACAATATTCGTATCGATAGTATTCGTATTATCAATAAAAAAAGATATCCGTGCATTGCCAGTATAATAGGAATTAGCCAGAATTAGCAAGAGTCAATGACATACAAAAATAACCAACCAAATTTATAGAGAAATTCGGAGTTAAATAGAGTGAATCTTCCACATGCGGAACCCCGTTAATGAAAAACAAGTTGTTAAACTTGACCAAATTGTGATATTTCAAGACCGTTCACTGCACAAACCATTGCTGGAACGAGGAACTTCCATGCAATCATTCCTGTAGATTTGGAGACTGAGATGTAAAGTCTGCACTGTTGACTCTACGGTGTGCTGCTGAAACCTTTCAAGATGTAGGCCAGTCAGATAAGGACTTTATTTTGGCTGAAATCAAGGATAATAGAAGAAGGATAACAGCCATTGCATATCATACGGAAAAATGATATGAAACGCATTCTAAGTTTTTGGGATTCTAGCGAACCAGTAAATTGTTTAAAAAATTGAAAACTGCATAATTAAGCGTGCGCGTGACCTTTTTCGTTTAACGCTGGCAAACCCGCAAAAGATAGAATAAAATTTTTTTTTGTATTTTTCTACTTCCCAGTAAGAACCAAATAAAATTTTTTCTTCGCGAAGTTTTTTTACAATATATTTACACAAAAGGTTGCATACCTCAGGAACCGTTTGGCCGATTGCGTCCATCCAAAATACCAACCTTTAGTATTATAAAAGCTAGGATCATACCAAATTTCAACTTGCGAGCTCCATTTTTTCTCAAGTTATTGTGCATACAAGGGTTTTCTTATACTTTGTATCAACTTTGCATTAAACAGTGTATATATTTTGACTGATATAAACGGAGACCATCGAGATGAGTATTTTGAAAAAACGAAAAATTGGAATCGGTGCAGTAGTTTTTGAGATATTGGGGAAAAACGAAATTTAAACAAGTTGTTATATTTCAGAACTACTGAACTGATCGGCCTGAAACAACGCGCCAAAGTTGGGCTCGATCATACAGCTACAATAACAAAAATCTCAGATTTTTATTTACAACTTTCATCGTATTTGTGTTTAAATTTTAAATAATTAATCACCAAAAACTCAAGTTGTCATATACATACATACAGACGCCTAAAAACAGCATTTCTTCACGTTTCATAACATTCCACACCATTTGCAATAAAAATTAGAAAATCAAAAAATCTGTCAAATATAAGCTTCAAAAAGGCTCTAAAAACAATTTTGTTACGTTTCATAACATTCTACATTATTTCCGAGCATAATTCCAGTCGGAAGCAAAAATAAATGACATAGATATTTCGGTAAAGGGGTGAAGTGTAAGCAAGAATGGGTCCCTGACAGAAACTGGTACTATGACTTTATCAGTTCTGGATGGATCCGTAGTATCTAAATTATACAATTATTAAATGATCCGTATTCTATTTTTAAAAAATCGTTACACAAATGGGCTTTTTTTCCCAAGTGTTCTATAGATGGACTGTTCACTCTACATAAAAAAATTAATTCAGAGATTAAAGCATCAAATGAAAAATGTATTCCATTCAATATTTTATAATATTGAAAAAAATGCATATTTGAACCTTATAGGCTGTATTTAGTCAACTTAATCCAAAAATGTGGAAACTCAAATTTGAATGATTACAACGCTTCTCTTTGGAAGCAAAAATTAAGAAAACATTCACGGAGAGAAATATTCAATAAAAATTACCAGAAAAAAGACGTAAAAATTACGTTGCGAAACGTAATCTGGGAGCAAAGTAAAATTCAATAAAAAGTGTCAATCGTCACGTAAATTCTACGATCTGTTCCGTAAAAATTACTCATCCGTCCGACGCCTCACGGCTAGCCATGAGTCACCGTGAGGAGGAGATTTTAACAACACGTTCCGTAATTTTTCCGGAACTTTTCGTAAAAATTCTTAAACGTCCAAGAATTTTCATGTTCTGAGGCATAATAAGTCTTGAAGTTTCTGTTAGATTTTACAACTTCCAGAAAAATTACGTGACTTT